AGAGCATCACTACTAGGGAAATAACATTATCTGACCTCTCTTGTGGTTCCCTAGAAGGCAGTCATTCTAAGTCTGTCTTTATTTGACCTGAGTCAGAAAAGCCTTTTCCCTGAAGGTGCTTGTCTAAAACAAGTAGAGGCAATTGACTAACTTTGGAACTACCTGAGGTTGTTAATAACAATTGGGACAAACAATAGACTAACCAAAACACTTAAAAAGAAAAACTGGAAAATAAGATGTCTACAGCAGACTTTGAAAAGCTCAGACATATTCTTGGAAACCAGAGGACACTTGAATTTGTAGAGCTTTGGGTATGCCCAGGGCTCTCCACATGCCCAGAAAAGATATGAGAAGACCCTTAGCTCTCACCTCTAGATGATCTTGAGGCTCTGAGCAAAGAAGTGAAAGCTAAGGCAAAGTTGGCAGCTGCCTAGCTGAGTGTTGAAGGGGTGCCCCAAAATGTATGCAGAGCTCCTTGGCAAAGACTGGGAGATTTATTGGTTCCAGCCATTTAAGGAAATCTCTGTCTAGTCATTAGGTGACAGTTAAGCTAATCCAGTAGAGACTCCAGTGCCCAAATATGACAGAGAATACAGACTTCATAGATCATTTCAAACAAGGAATGAAACAAACAAATGGACAATGATAATAAACCACAAAACCAACAAACTCTGAGAGGGATAATCCGATTCCCAGAGTTGCCACATTATATTATTAAACATGTCCAAGTTTCAACACAATTATAAGGCATGTAAAGAAACAAGAAAATACAAGGAAAAAGTAATCCCCTTTTTGTAAGTAAAATGTCCCTTACAAAACCTAGATGTTAGCCTTATAAGATAAAGACTTTATTATTTTTAATTAATTAATTCATTTATTATTATTATCACTATTGTTATGATTTAGAGAGAGAGTGTGTGAGCAGGAAAGGTGCAAAGGGAGAGGGAGAAAGAGAGAATCCCAAGCAGACTCCATGCACAGCATGGCCCTATGCTGGGCTCAATCTCACAACCCTGAGATCATGACCCAAGCTGAAATAAAGAATTGGACACTTAAGTGACTGAGCCACCTAGGTGTCCCTAGATAATGACTTTAAATCAGCTATTTTAAACATGTTCAAAGAACTAGAGAAAAGCCTGTTTAAGACCTAAAGGAAAGAATGAGAACAATGTCTCACCAAATCAAGACTATAAAAAGATTGTAATTAGACATATAGTCATATATAGGGATGATTTTTTAAATTTTGAAATTATAGAAAATATTATCTTAATAAAAATTTGGAACTTAAAAAAAAAGAAAGAAATTATAAAAGAAATCAAAGAGAAATTTTGGAGTTGTAAAGTACAGTGACTCATGACAAACTCACTAAAGGTGCCCAACAGCATATTTGAGCAAGTAGAAGAGTTAACAGTCTGAGGAAGAGAAAAAAAAAGTAAAAAAAGAATGAAAGAAAACAAAGAGCCTGAGAGACCTGTGGTATAGCATGAAGCCTAACAACATATGCATAATGGGAGTTCCAGAAGAAGAGGAGAAAATGAGTAGGATAGAAAGTACTTGAAGAAATACATGGCCAGAAATGTACTCAAATTTGATGACAAACATTAATCTACACATCCAAGAAGCTAAACAAATTCCAAGTAGGATAAATTTAAAGATCCACACCTAGATGCATCACAAAGTGTTCAAAGACAAAAGCAACAAATCTTGAAAGCTAGAGAGAAGCATCTATCACATATAAGAGACCTTCAATAAGATTAAGAGTTGATTTCTTATCAGCAATCATAGAGGCCAAAGGTAGTGGGAAGACATATAAAAAGTGCTTAAAAAAAAAAAACAACTGGGCGCCTGGGTGGCTCAGTTGGTTAAGCGACTGCCTTCGGCTCAGGTCATGATCCTGGAGTCCCTGGATCGAGTCCCACATCGAGTCCCGCATTGGGCTCCCTGCTCGGCAGGGAGTCTGCTTCTCCCTCTGACCCTCCCCCCTCTCATGTGCTCTCTCTCTCTCATTCTGTCTCAAATAAATAAATAAAATCTTTAAAAAAAAAAAAAAACCTGTCAACTGAGAAAAACTATCTTTTAAAATGAAAGAGAAATTAAGACATTTCCTGATGAACAAAAACTAAAAGAATTTGTTGCTTCCAGAGCCATCCCACAAGAATATTAAAGGAAATCCTTCAGACTGAAATTAGAGGACACAAGACAATAACTTGAATCCATATGAAGAAATAAAAAGCACCACCAGTAAAGTCACCTACATAAGAAATAAAAAGAAAGTATACACACAGTTTTTGTTTGTAACACATTTTTTCTCCTATCTGATTTAAAAGCCAACTACATCAAACAGTAATCATAAATCTGTGTTGATGAAAACATAATTTATAAATATATGATTTGTATGATTAATAGCACAGAAAGGGGAGGTAATGAAGTTTTTGTATATTGCTGATATTATTTTGGTATTAATCTGAACTAGGATGTTATGAATGAAGATGTTAATTATAATACTTAGTTAACCACTAAGAAAATTATTTTAAAAGAAGAATATTTTGGGGCACCTGGGTACCTCAGTCAGTTGAGCATCTAACTCTTGATTTTGGCTCAGGTCATGATCTCATGAGATCAAGCCCTTAGGCTCCATGCTTAGTGTGGGGAGTCTGATTGAGATTCCTTCACTTTCTCCCTCTCCCCCTGCCCCTCCTCCTGCTGGTGCTCTCTCTGTCTCTCTAAAATAAATAAATAAATCTTTAAAAAGAAAGGTAAAAGAAGAATATTTTAAGGAAGAGAGAGAATTAAAAAGCTACACTAGACAATATCTCTTTAACACAAAAGAAAGTAACTTATTGAAGAATAGAGAAATAACAAAGACATAAGATATATAGAAAACAAATAACAAAACAGCAGACATAAATCCTATTTTATCAGTAATTAAATGTAGTTTTCATGAATGTAAATAGATTAAATATTCCAACTGAAAGGCATAGATAGGAGAGATGAATACAAATACATGATCTGGGATGCCTGGGTGGCTCAGTTGGTTAAGTGTCTGACTTTTGATTTTGGTTCAGGTCAAGATCTCAGGGTTGTGAGATCAAGCCCTGCATCAGGCTCCGTGCTCAGCACAGAGTCTGCTTGTCCTTCTCCCTCTGCTCCTTCCTTCCCCCACTCTCTCTCAAATAAATAAATAAAATATTTTTAAAAATACATGATCCAACTATATGCTTTCTATAAGAAACACACTTGAGGTTCAAAGACATAAATAGGTTGACAGTAAAAGTATGGGAAAAGATATACCAAGCAAACGGTAACCAAAAAAGAACCGGAGTGGCTATATACTAATGCCAGGCAATTTAGACGTTCATAGACTTTTAAACTGTTACTGGAAATGAGAACATTTTATAATATAAAAGGGTAAATCTATCAAGATGATATAATAATTATAAACATATATGTACCTAACAACAAAGCTCCAAAATGCATGAAGCAAAAACTGACAGAATTGAAGGGAGAAATAGACAACTCAACAAATAGTTGTAGATGTGAATATCTCACTTTTAGTAATGGATTCTTAGGGGGGATTAATAAGGAAATAGAAGACTTGATCAGCACTATAAACCAAGTAGACATAACAGTCATCTTTAGAACATAGCACCCAATGACAACAGAAGACACATTCTTCTCATATGCACAAGGAACATTCTCCAGGACAGACCATATGTTAGGCCATAAGACAAGTCTCAAAAAGCATAAAGAAATGGAAATCATACCAAGTGTGTTTTCCAATCACAATGAAATAAAATTAAAATTCAGTAACACACAGAAATTGGGAAATGAGCAAATACGTGGCAATTGAACAGCATACCTCTAAATAACCAATGGGTCAGAGGAGGAATCACCGTAAATTAGAAAATACTTTGAGATGAATGACAAAGAAAACACAATATCAAAACTTATGAGATACAGCCACATAGTGCTCTGAAGGAAATTTAGAGCATCAAACACCTATATTAAAAAAGAAGATCTCAAATCAATAAACTTCTACCTTCAGAAAAGAAGAAAAAAGAGCAAACTAAACTTCTAGCAAGCAGAAGTTAGGAAATAATAAAGATTAGAGTGGAAATTCAATGAAAACCAGGACACACCCAGTAAAATCCTGAGATTAAAAGGACTGGTAATACCAAGTGTTGGCAGGGATATGGAGTAACTGGAACTCTGGCCCATTACTTGCAGGAATGCAAAGTGGTGCCACCACCTGGAAAACAGTTTGCCAGTTTCTTATAAAGTTAAATGTATACTTGTTATACCACCTACCAATCCCACTCCTCGATATTTACCCAAGAGTCAGGCCATTTTTCTCATTAGTTAGAACTTCAAATAGGAACATAGTAATTCTATAAGACAATGATCACCAAGTAAAAATTTCTTTTTATCTCTTTTTTTAATTTTTTAATTTTTTAAAGATTTTACTTATTTGATAGAGAGAGACACAGTGAGAGAGGGAAAACAAGCAGGGGGAGTTGAAGAGGGAGAAGCAGGTTTCCCGCCGAGCAGGGAGCCCGATGCGGGGCTCGATCCCAGGACCCTGGGATCATGACCTGAGCCGAAGGCAGACGCTTAACGACTGAGCCACCCAGGCGCCCCACCAAGTAAAACTTTCAATAACAAAATTATTATTCATTTGAATCCCTTGGAGTCTTAAAATGAAACTCTAAGTGGAATGGCTTATCCCAATTCTGGGATCTCATATATAAATATATTTGGATTTACATAAGTGAATTTTTAATGGTACAAGTATTTTATTTTTTTAACGTATTGCTTGTATAAAGGGTCTCAAAATTTGCTCTCCTTGAATTTCTTTGCAAGGCAGAGGTTAGCTGTAGGTAGCCCAAGGACAACTTGACCCAGTGGCTGATCCTTCATTTGGAATCTAAAGTAAGGCTTGAGTTTTCTGGTGTCATTTTGGGTTCATTCTCAGATTTTGGACTTTCTTTCATATTTTGTAGGTTTATTGCTACGCCTCTAGCAAAATCATTTGGCATTAAAGAGGAAGTTCGAAAGAAGATTATACCAAATACCGTCTTAGAGAATTTTTTCAAATATTCCACAAGGCAACCATCTCAAGTAAGTACAAGTTCTTTGTTCGGGGATTAAAAAAAAAATCTCCTTTCTTAATGTTTCAGTCACCTGTGGCTTACCTCATCTGTTCAAGATATCCGTTCCAGTTGGCCATCAAATGATTTGACTCATTTGGATTTTTTTCCTCTATTGACAGGTTATACAGCATTCCAAGCATAGTATAAAATGAAACAGAAATATTATAAAATAACCAATATTCATAGTTGAACTATTGTGTTCAACTATAGTGTTTAACACTAATAATCAGTGCCATAATTTGGGTAGAAAGATCAAAATTAAATTTTGGAGGGTAGGATATGTACAAAGTACCCTAATCACTAAAGACCACTGACAGTTACGGCAGAGTAGCCCATATCTAACACTTCTGATGACTGTGGCATCATTGATATACATTACACACTTTAGGAAATTGTTCATGGGGGTGGCTGTCGTGAGTAGACCATTTCATTTTATCCAAGTCCTCCACATGTTTAAAAATGCACCATGCTCCTGCCCACTCCCCAGGAAAGTCAGAGTTCTCTCTACAATACAAGATGCACTTCATGAAATGGTGTAGTGCAAGGAATGTTTACATAACCCAAAAAAGGTTGTCTTAAAAGGTCGTTTTTGTTTTTTTTTTAAGATTTTATTTATTTGTCAGAGAGAAAGAAAGAGAGCAGGGGGAGCGGCAGGCATAGGGAGAAGCAGGCTTGCCACTGAGCAGGGAGCCCAATGCAGGACTCTGGGATCATGACCTGAGTCAAAGGCAGACGCTTAACCGACTGAGCCACCCAGGCACCCCCACAAAAAAAGGTTTTAATCCAATAGTTGTAAAAAAAGATGGCGCCTAGGCAGGTCTAGTTTCATTTTCACCATAGTTAAAATGAGAGATGAAATAAAAACTCTCTGATGAATACAGACGGTGATCACTAGTCATTTTTTTTCTGCATATGTTAATTTTTTAATGAAATTTACATGTGACTTCTTTTTCTTTTTCTTTTTATTATGTTATGTTAGTCACCATACAGTACATCATTAGTTTTTGATGTAGTGTTCCCTGATTCATTGTTTGTGCATAACACCCAGTGCTCTGTTCAATACGTGCCCTCTTTAACACCCATCACCAGGCTAACCCATCCCCCCACCCCCCTCCCCTCTAGAACCCTCAGTTTGTTTCTCAGTGTCCATAGTCTCTCATGGTTCATCTCCCCCTCCGATTTCCCCCCCCTTCGTTTTTCCCTTCCTATTATCTTCTTTTTTTTAACATGTAATGTATTATTTGTTTCAGAGATACAGGTCTGTGATTCAACAGTCTTACACAATTCACAGCGCTCACCCTAGCACATACCCTCCCAGTGTCCATCACCCAGCCACCCCATCGCTCCCACCCCCCACCACTCCAGCAACCCTCAGTTTGTTTCCTGAGATTAAGAATTCCTTATATCAGTGAGGTCATATGAGGCATGTCTTTCTCTGATTGACTTATTTCTCTCAGCATAATACCCTCCAGTTCCATGCACATTGTTGCAAATGGCAAGATTTCATTCCTTTTTATGGCTGCATGATATTCCATTGTATATATATACCACTTCTTCTTTATCCATTCATCTGTCGATGGACATCTTGGCTCTTTCCATAGTTTGGCTATTGGATCACCAGTCATTTTAAAAGTCAAGAGCATGTGCTCGCACAGTTTAGGATTGATAGATTTTAAGGGTGCCTGACTTTATTTGCAAAGTTCAGTTGCATCTACGAGGACTGTTTCTATCATGGGTCTGGTTGGGCTCATATGGAGGTCTGACCATAGCGTGTGGCATCGCGTCCAGAATTGTTCACAGCTAGCCAGCACTGTCTGTAACTTCTGCCCTCAGGGTCTGTACTGGACTCCCTTGTTTGTTTGTTTTCTAAAATGAGGACAGTCTGACAAGCCTTTTCCACGTGTTCTTCATTTCCATGTACTCCAAAGGACTGCTCTTGTTCCTTTCAATACTGCTGTTAACAGTGGCGATAATAAACGCCCAAGCATCATTTCACATTTTTCAAAAGGGAAATTACATAGCTGTGGTTATGAAAACTTCGGGCTCTTTCAGAGTCCTTGTTATTTTTCTCTCTTTCTGTTTGAGAATAAAGCACCCGGGTAATACCTTGTATAAAACATGAAGAACGGAGCCATGCTCTCAATTACTTGATATGTTTGCTATAGCAAAACCTTCAGGTCAGCATTTTAGGGAGTTTAAAATGAGGAAATTTGGTCTTTATCAAGTTTCCCTGCTACGGAGAGAAAAGAGCCATGTGACAGTTAAAGAAATACCAACATAACATCTGGCACAATTTTCTGTGCATTGTAGGTGTTCAATAAGTGCTTGTTTTATGTATCGCTAAGAAATTGCTTCCAGAGACTTTTGTTTGCAAGAGGATTTCCATCCCAATCATATTGTAGTGAATGGAGTCAGTATTGTCAAGACTGATGTTACTCCCGATTCATCTGGGCTCCAAGAGAGAAAATAAATTGCTTCAAATCATGTTCGAGTGCTATTTCTAGATGCATTTATTAAGCAGATATGTATAGAAATGATGGGATAATAAAAATGAATTGCTTCCCGCGAGGGAGTATGATGAGCTGTGTGGGTTAGTGAATCCAGACCTCCAGAGTTGTGAGAACAAAGACCTTGGACGCAAGGGCAAAGTGAACACGGTGTCCAACTCCGGACATATGCCTGCTCCTCCATTCCGTACGTGCCGCTGGAGGGGGACTTTATCAGTGCCAATGCCCTGTCCCCCCCCCCAGGATAAATCCCAGACAAAGCCCCCCTTGATGTGAGCGTAGCCACATCTTTCCTCCCCTCCTCTTCATACGGCTCTACCCTGCCAGACTTCTTTCTGTTCCCCAGGGGTTCCCTGCTCACCCTTGCTCTCATCTCCACACGACCTTCCTTTCTTTACCCTCTCCTTCTCTGAGGCTTTTTTCAGGATCCAGCCTATGTGTAACTTTCCGGAAATGCCTACACAGAGTTAGGTCCCATGGTATCCTGATCTTCCCCTATCTTAGCACTCATGGTATTTCATTAGAATTCTTTGTTTTATTTTCTTACTTTCGGGCCCCACGTCCATGTTATTATTCATTTCGATCCCCAATGATTAGCACAATGCTTGCAAGAAGGAGGCAACAATAAATGGTTGCCAACTCAGTGTCCTCAAGAGCTCAAAAACAAAACACAACACAACAACAACAACACAAACAGTGGCGAACCCTTGGCCTATAAAAGGTGTTAGAGAGGGCAGTTAGGTTACAGAGAAACAGAGTATCATATGGGCTGTATCCTGTGTTTTGTTTTGCATTCCTTCTTGCAGATTAAATAACAGGTAGCAATTTAGGAGGTACATAGAAGTTGCAATTAGGCCTTTGCCAGTCTTCAGTGTGAGAGCTGCTTTATGAATTTTATCCACTGTTAACCCTGCGCACGTGAACAATTAGGTGAACTCTGCACAATAACACAGTAGAAACTGTATGACTGGTCCCAGACTGGAGGGTGTCCAGCCATCAGGCAGGCTTTGTTCAGCCCTCGCAATGTTGGTCCTAAATTTACTTAAATTTACTTTGAGGCATCGGTCAACATTTGGAACGTGCTAGTCATGTCACAACAAAATCCTGGGTGTGCGCTTTCCCTCTGGAGCCATCAATGAGGGCTGGTTCACAGCTGCGCTTTTGGAGCAAAGCGGGTGCTTTCCTGTTTGCTTTGTCAGTCGCTCCTGCTTATCTCCTCAACGCTGAAGCTGAGGGTCAGTTTGATGCCATTTTTTTTTCTAGTAAAGAGGAAATGGAAATACTTCGTGTACTTATGTTGGAAAATGAAAGATCAAGAGGGCAGGTATTTCAAAAACTTACAGAGCTTATTTCTTTGTGTCAGTTGAAGACACCATAGGTTTAGCATATAAAACCTGCCTGTGCGAAAGAATACAACTTAAAATCCCACCATGAAACAGACCTGATCCACTCAATCATATGTGTTTTTGGTCTGGCCCTCGGAGAGCTTCAAAGTGTATGACCTTTGAGCTAATCCATCATGCGTATTGTTTCCAAATTTAAAAATAAATTCTGCTTCCCAGAAGAGAAGCAATCATCATTAGTATATTCTACGATCTTAATTTTTTTATGATTGGAATTATTTTGGATTAGTTTGAAATGGGCTCTACATCTGATTAAACGTGAAAGTGATAGCCAACACCTTTTGAGTTTTTCCTGTCGTATCTTTTGGATCCAGCACAAAGGTCGTGTGAAAGAACAGAAAGTGCACTAGCCTACATTCTTTTTTTTTTAAATCTTTTTTTTAATTTATCTGACAGAGAGAGACAGTGAGAGAGGGAACACAAGCAAGGGGAGTGGGAGAGGGAGAAGTAGGCTTCCCGCCGAGCAGGGAGCCCGATGCGGGGCTCGATCCCAGGACCCTGGGATCATGACCCGAGCTGAAGGCAGTCGTTTAACCAACTGAGCCACCCAGGTGCCCCACTAGCCTACCTTCTTATCCTCACTTTACTATTAATTTTAGGTCTTGGACAACTTACTAAAACTCTTGGTGTTCCCATTTCTCGTAGGAAAAATGAGGAGGTTGGATCTGATTAACACCTTAAACTGTACTTCTTTACCTGGTACCTAGGAAGCCTAGATAAAACTTTGCTGAACGAGTGAGCTCACATCTGCAGCTCGAATGTATGGGTTGCTGCCAAATTATGGAGTATTGATATTTCTTAGTAACTCAGAGTGCTGGGATTTTTTTTTTTTTTTTTTGGTGGGTCTGTGTGTGTGCGTGTCTGTGTGTGTGATCCCATAAGCAAAAGAGGTAAATTCATTGGCTCCAGAGCTAACGCAGAATGCCTCTTCTCTCCAGGGCACAAGCTCTGGTAACTGAATCATACCGTCTCTTGACTGCCTGCCCATCTGACTACTCTTTATCACCTGTTCATTCATGTTGTCCCTTTTCAGACTGATATTTACGGACTGGCAAAGAAGTGTAACTTGACAGAGCGCCAGGTGGAAAGATGGTTTAGGAGTCGGCGGAATCAAGGGAGGCCTTGCAGGATGAAGAAATTCCAGGAAGCTTGGTAAGAAGGACAGTCAAAGCTTTTGCAATGCTGCAGTTTTATAATATGGAACAGAATGGTCATCTCAGAAAGAACACTAATGTTGGAGCAAAGAGGGGTTTGGACCCAGCCCTGTCACTTACCAATTGGGTGTTTTAGGCTAGTTGCCCATCTACCGTCTCTGATTCCGTTTCCTTCTCGATGAAATGGGGTGAAGCTATGAACTCTCTAAGATGAATAGGAGGTATGATGTACTTATCTTAAAGTCCAGAAAAAAAATACAAACATCTTAACTGCTGTTTCTTTTTTTTAGGGTAGAGGTTGGCCCTACGTCGCAAGACTTTATCAACTGTTTCTAATCATATTCCAATTATTAAATCACATTATAAGAGCAGAGAATGGGAAGGTGTCTGTTCTTCCATCCCACTTGACTCATTCCCCCCTCCAGCCCCCCACCCCTTGCCTGTGGACTGGATGGCCAGTTCCTCTGGGTTTCCCAGTTGGTTTTAGTGGGGGGGGTGGTCAGCACCTGTTGGGGTCCAAGTAGGATTTTTGCCAGAGCTGGCTACTTTGAATATGCTCTGGGAGGAATGAGGCTGCATAACACTTATTTTTGGTTTCATTTGAGTTCTGTGGGTTTTTTTTTTCCCTCCTGTAGAATTTTGTTGTACTTTGGTTCACTCCCTTGGTGGCATAAACAGACACTTGTGTGAAAAATGAGGACAGGTCATTGCTCTTATTTTTTTCTTCTTCTTAATATCCAGACAATGTCTGGTTATGTCGACTGTCTTCTCTGTACGGGGCACTCTCCTACATTGGGTGGAGTTCTAGATTTTAAGAGGGAAGTTAAAGTGGAAGGCCTGGTCACTAGCTTTAAACAGCTACTCAGGGAGACAAGACTGTTGCTTATGAAACCACAATAGCCATCCAGTTATTCCACCCAATGGCACATGAGCCTAGACACGTGTAGTCCATGGTCATGTTTCGATGCATTGTGGGCAGTCAGAGGAGATGGTGTTAGTAGATCTGGACTCGTTCGAAAAAGGCTTTTTAGAGGAGGCCAGACCTAGAGGAGGTAGTGGGAACATGACCTTGAGGAATGGGTTGGGATTTCCATGAGAAAAGAAATCAGGATTTGAGGGTAGCTTGTTTCAAGTAAGGCAAAGACACAAGGCAGGAAATTATACAGTGTATTCAGGATATAGAAGTGGGCCAACAAATAAAATGAAAGCTTTACCTTCTTCTTTAGAGATATCACAAATTTCCTGAAAGTCAGAACACCGCTATCATAGACTAAATAAATAGACTAAAGCAAAATGCACTTTATTCCTCCAGCGATGTAATGTGCTGTGGGAATCATAGTAAGAGCTACCTAGCCTCAGACATTTGGGAAATCTCAGAAAACTTACTTCCCAACACCAAACTTTAACAAATTACTTGCCAACAGGCAGAAACTCCTCTATAATATTAAGAGGAACACCTTAAGTTTACTGTATTGTTTCCTTGATTACTTCCTTTTTTTTTAATTGAAGTATGGTTGACATACAATATTAGATTAGTTTCAGCTGTACAACATGGTGATTTGACATTTATATACATTCCCAAGTGATCACAACAAGAAATCTAGCAACCATCTGCCGCCATATAAACAATGTTATTAATTATATCCCCTGTGCTGTACATTGCATCCCCAAGTTTTAAATACTTAATAACTGGTAGTTTGCACCTTTGAATCTCCTTCCTTTGTTTCACCCATTCCTCTACCCTCTCCCTCTGGCAACCACCAGATTGTTCTCTGTATCTGTGAGTCTGTTTCTATTTTGTTTTATCTGTTCATTTGCTTTCTTTTTTAGAGCCTACATGTAAGTGAAATCATATGGTATTTGTCTTTCTCTGTCTGATTTATTTCACTTAGCATAATACTCTCTAGCTCCATCCATGTTGTCACAAATGGTAAGATTTCACTTTTTTTAAAAGATTTTATTCATTTATTTGTCAGAGAGAAAGAAGAATTTCATTTTTGTATAGCCAACTAGTATTCCATTGTGTGTGGGGGTGTGTGTGTGTGCGTATCACATCTTCTTTATCCATTCATCTGTCGATGGGCACTAGGTTGCTTCCATATCTTGGCTATTGTACTTGGTTACTTTTTTAAATGATGACCCCCTGAACCCTGTTCCACAGAATTCAGGATTTTAATCCACAGTGCATCCTTTATTTTTAAAGTAAACTTCATATTAGCTGCCCACTTTTCTTTTTCAATAAGCATTTCCATCTAGCAGCAAGAAGTTTATTATATAAATCCCAGGTAATTGTCAAGTAGTGGGTGTAGATAGGTAGGCAGCTTCCCCAGCCCCGGAGGGAGAGCTCTCCTCTAGCTGGCTGGGCTGCCACCTTGCCTTAGCTGACCCCTGGGACATGTCCCTGCCTGCTCCATTGGGCCTTGCCCTTTCCTGAGCCCCGTTGCTGGCCTTGGCAGCTTCTCTCTCCATTGCCCCCTGATTGCACTTGCCATCTGGGCCTGACCAATCAATTTCTGGATTTTTCTTTTTTCCAAGAATTTTTTTCCCCTTACAATTATGTTTATCTCAGCCTCTCCTGGAAAAAAAAGGGGGGGACCTTTACTACCTTTTCCATCTGAAACTAGTAAAACAGCATCAACAAGTACTTTGTCATTCATCTCATAATTAGTGAAGTGTAGCGGTTCTCGAACTTTTTGGTTTTAGAAGCTTTTTGTCCTCTGAAAAATTAAGAAGGACCCCAAAGAGCATTTGCTTGTGTGTGTTATGGCTACCGATACTAGAAACGAAGGCTGGGACATTTATAAAACATAAGAGTACATAAGCACTCTGAGCAAGGATGGCGTCTCCTGTCATGGGGCCTCTGGAAATCACTGTTCGCTTGTGAAGGGATGAGTGAAACTCACATAACACGGTAGTCATATTATGAAAATATTTGGATGCCAGGAATACCTGGCACACATTTTGAGAACCGCTGGGATAGTGTAATGAAGCCTAACAGATCAGTCCAGGAAAATGCAATACTTGGTTTTGGCACTTGCATCTGATGGCCACTGCACAGCCCCAGGGGAGCTCTGTGATCTCTCCCAACCTCTGTGTCCCTCTGCGGTAGCCACCTTGTCTACCTTTTATCCATAGAGAGGGCCTAATTACAGTTCCTAGTCAATAAACTTGTTGTGAAGATAAACATATGATAACACACATAGGCTTAGCACAGTGCCTGGTGCAAAGTCAAGAGGTCAGTAAATGCTGGAGAAACGAACAATTCGAGATGTGCCACCTAGACTTATGGCTTCCTTTGTGGCCAGCAGGTCTGATCCTACTTTTTCTGTTTCCATTTGGCCACGAGAATCCAGGGAGCCAAAGGCATGCTGCCTGCATCTAAGTGTGGGCCTTCACTGGACCAGCCGTAAATATAACAAGGATGGACAGGTCTCAACCAGCTCATTTTATAAAATGCTCTTTGGGTATTTTTATGGTTCAGATTTCTGAAGACTGGAACCCTACTTCTTTCTCTACCAAAGCAAGCCAGGAAGAAAGACTATCATCTAGCCTATAGTCAATGACAATGTTCAGGAAGCATCACTGGCTTCAGAGTCCAGAGACCGGCACTCAGCCTCAGCTGTGTTACTGCTTAGCTGTGGGAGCTGGGGAACTGGGGGAACTGGTCTTGCCTTTAAGGAGCCTGATTGTTCATCTACAAAATGGGTGTACGTCTGCCTTCCTCTTTCTTACTTAGCTTTCAGGCATGTTGAAGAAAGCACTCTAAGGCATTACGCAAGAATAAGGAACAAGCATTATTATTATTATTATTATTATTATTATTATTATTATTTTAAGATTTTATTTATTTATTTGACACAGAGAGAGAGAGAGAGAGCTCATGAGCAGGGGGAGGGGCAGATGGAGAGGGAGAAGCAGGCTCTCCGCTGAGCAGGGAGCCAGACTCGGGGCTCAATCCCAGGACGCTGGGGTCATGACCTGAGCCAAAGGCAGCCACTTAACCAACTGAGCCATCCAGGCGCCCCAACAAATATTATTTTTAATATTATTGTTGCTTCAGCAATCATGAAATAAAATAGCAGTACTTTTTTGGAAACTTTACTTTGCAAAGTTATAAACATACACAAAAATAGAAAGACTGGTATAATGAACTATGTGTTCTATGTTCCCATCACCAACTTTAAGTATTACCAACTGATGGCAATCCTGTGTCATCTGTGTCCCCCCTAACCACCTCCCCCCATGGACTGTTTTTGTGGATAAATTTTTTTCTGTCAGTTTTATTGAGATATAGTTGACCTGCGTCACTGTATAAGTTTAAGGTGTACAGCGTGACGGTCCGACTTACATATATTGTGGAATGATTGCCACAGTCAGTTTAGTTAGCATCCATAATCTCATAGAGGTACAAAAAGGAAAAAAATGTTTTTTCCTCTTTGTGATGAGAACTTTAGGATCTACTCACTTAGCATCTTTTAAATATGCCATACAGAAGCGTCAACTATAGTCATCCTGCCGTACATCACATTCCCCGTACTTACGTGTCCTGTAACTGAGAGTGTGTTCCTTTTGACCACCTTCATCCAAGTATTATTGACGATTACTTTTGACACAAATATCAGACTTTGTATGATTTCATTGTAAATATTTTAGTATGTATCTCTAAGAGATAAGGGCTCTATTTTAAACAAAATTGCAATACCACTATCATACCTTAAAAAAACTTTAATAACGGGTGCCTGGGTGGCTCAGTCGGTTAAGCGGGTGAACTCTTGATTTTGGCTCAGGTCGTGGTCTCAGGGTCGTAAGATCGAGCCTGGTGTTGGGCCCTGCGGGGAGTCTGCTTGTCCCTCTCTCTCTCCCCTTCTGCCCCTCCCCCTTCTTGCGCCCTCTCTCTCTCTCTCTTTCTCTAAAATAAATAAATAAAATCTTTAAAAAACTTTAATAATAGTAAATATTCAATGTTCAGATTACCTTGATTAACTCATAATTTTCTTTACCGTTTGTTTGTTTGAATCAGGATCTTAATAAAAGCCATGCAGTACAGTTGACTGGTATGTCTTTTAAGTCTCTTAATCTATAGGTCTTTCTCCATACATGAGAAAAAGATTTTTTTTTTTTCAAAATCTGCTTTTCAGAAACAAGACTGAAGTCTGGCCGCATGGAAACCTTTTCATTGGGACTTAAGTGGGGATAAAATAAATGATTCGATTAATACTAATGTCAACCCGTTGTCTACTGTGTATCAGGTGCACTGCAAACAGTTGTAACAGTATCCCCCACTTGTTATTGCTTGCTTCATACCGGGCACCCTGATCAATACTTTTCACAAATTAGCTTCAATTCTTTTTACATTTTGAGGTAAGTTTTGTCATTCCCATTTTATAGATGAAGACATGAAGGCTTCCCGAGGTTAAGCGACTTCCCTACAGCCATCAAACAAGTGGCAGTCAGGATATCAAATTAGATGTGCCCGTGCATTCTTTCCAGAATACTGTCCTACCAAATGTATTTCTCCTCACATGTCAATCACCTTTACCAGATGTTTCTTTCTTTTGGCAGCTGGCGATTTGCATTTTACTTAATGATTACTGTTGCTGGAATTGTATTTCTTTATGATGTAAGTTGTCTCTTTGATATTCTTTGATGGGGATTTGTCTTTGATTTTAAAAACTGTTGCCTATGAATTCCTCGTGAAATAAGGTTCTCAATAAGCTAACCAGCTTTCATGCTTTTAAAAACCACACAGATGCCTAGAGAAGTCATAACTCCTCAGTTTGTCTTTCAAAGCCTTTGTTAAGCATTGGATTGGCAAACATAACTTTGAAACCTAATCTCTCCCTATTTCCACTCACACGACCCATGTGCCAACTACCCTGGACTACTGACAATCCCCTGAACAGACCTTTGCATTGTCTGTTTAAATAGTCACTAAATGATTACCTCATTAAGTGATATATAAACTTCATAATAAATTGTTGACAGAAAAAAAAGATAACCAGCTTTTAGAGATTTTGCTCAAGATTTAAGATATTTTTATTGCTACAGAAAGAGTAGTCTGATTGGTTCAGAAATCATATCATTAGAGGTTTCACTTGTTTGAATAATTTCCTTTTTTTAAAAAGATTAAAAAGATTTTTTTAAAGATTTTATTTATTTGAGAGAAAGAGAGCGAGCGAGCGAGAGAGAAGGAGCAGGGGGAGGAGCAGAAGGAGAGGGAGAAGCAGACTCCCCGCTGAGCAGGGAGCCCGATGCTGGGCTCGATCCCAGGCCCCTGGGATCATGATCTGACCTGAAGGCAGATGCTTAACTGACTGAGCCACCCAGGCGTCCCTGTTTGAATAATTTCCTGTGTGAGGCAGCACCGTGTGTGGTCTCAGATTCACTAGAAGTCGTGAGTGTCCCAGGCACATTGTATGGGGACATGTATCAATACCTAAAAAGAGAAAGAGATGCAGCAGGAACAACAGTCTTACTGTTATGTGTGGCCCTGTCAATGACATCAGGAAGAGCTTATGTTTTCTGCTGAAATCAGCCTTTGACTCTGACAAACTTATTTTTTCTCTCTTGGTTCCTTGTTTTTTCAGAAACCTTGGGTATATGACCTTTGGGAGGTGTGGAATGGCTATCCCAGGCAGGTAAGTCCCTTCTGATACAGTCCTCCCTTCCTTCAGCTTTGAGGCCCTCAAATTGTCCCCTGAGTTAGGTCCGAGTCCCCTTCCTACTCTCTGTCCACGTCTGTGCAATCCTTCAGCTCTTTCTCTACTGGAGCTTACTCATCCTTATTCCTTACTTACCTATCACTTGTGTTGTTCCTTTAGTCTGTTTATGGTTAATGCAATTACATATTTGAGTTTAAATCTCCTATCTTATGATTTATTTTCTATTTGTAATACATGGAGCATTTCCTTTTATTGTACTCTCTCCTTACTTTTTTATGGGACAATCAAGTTTTTAAAAAAATTATTACTCCATTTCTTCCTTTACATTAGCTTTTTAGTTAGGCATCCTTTTGTGCTTATAGTAATTATCCTAGACATTACTATATGCATTTTTTAATTATTGGAGTCTAATAAAAATTAATGCTCTAACCTCTTTACAGTCACTGAAAAATCGTTAGAATTCTTCATAGAATTCTTCATATCCCTCCTCCTATTTCCTCCTTCAAATATTTAAAATGCTGTAAGTCATTGCTATTATTGTTTTGGAAACAGTCAAATCACCCTCTCTGTGCTCCACCTTGTATCCTGCTTTTCCATGTTTCCATCTGGGATGATTATCCTTCTGGCTGAAGAAGTCCCTTTGGTTTGCTTTTCTGAAATGTTATCACTTCGCCTTCATTTTTTAAGGGATATATTTTGAGGGTATAGAATTCTAGGTTAGCAATGATTTTCCTTTAGCATTTGAAAATGGCATTCCATTGCCTTCTGGATCCCATCATTTTCTTTAAGAATTTAGTTGTCAGTTTTATTTTTGCTTCTTTGAACAGAATGTCTTTTTTCTCTGATTTCAGTATCTTGTCTTTGTCTTTCAAGTTTTATTATGATAGGCATAAATGTGGTTTTCTTTGACTTAATCCTGCCTAATGTCCATAGAACTTCTTGAATCTGTGCCGTGATATCTTCAGTCACTTTTAGAAAATTCTCAGCCATTGCTTTTGTTCCTTTTTCTCTCTCTCTCCTCTTTCTGGAAATTCAATTACAGATGTGCTAATATGCTAGATGTTTACACTAGGTCCCACATGTCTCTTATGCTTTTTCTAATATTTTCCATCTTCTTGCTTCTCTGAGCTTTAGTTTGTTGGGAGACAGTTCTCCATGGATTTCTTGCATTTTTGCAAGTCTTATGAAGTGAAGCACTGCCTGCCTTTTGTTCTGTACTATCTTTCAAGGACTTCTGTATAGCAGACAACCTTGGAAGATAGAAATATCTCCTTCTGGAGCAAAGGGTAGACACATTACTATCAATTATAAAGATTCAGGTTTCCTAGCTCAGGGTTCCTCTCTTGTACTACAACCCATGGTATGTGCAGATGTCATCTGATGCTTTTTGCTTAGCCCTCTATGAGTTAAGATGGGAGATCTGTCCCAAATATTGATACTCTGACACCTACTATTACTGTGAATAATACGCTCTCCTTTACCTCTGACCCAGGAGTCTTGGATCTTCAATCAGCCCCTATGAAACTGTGGCAAGCTATCTTGCAAGTAGGGTAAAATCTCAGACCCTTCACAGATCTGGATATATTCGATTTTCATGTTCTCTAGTTTGTTGCTGCCTTTATCAGCAGTGTCTAAACTGCTGTGAAACACATCTTTTGAGTTCTAAATTTTAGTTACTATGTTTTTCACTTCTCAAATTTTCATTTAACCCTTTTTTTTAGTGGATTCCAGTTCTCTGCTGAAATTTTCCACATTTTAACCAAGTTTTTAAAGTTATTTGGAAGTCCAAGTCTGAGGAATCCAATGTCTTGATCACCTATGGGTCTGTTCTCTTTTTTTATTCTTGTCTCCTTATGCTTGGTAACTTTTGATTGAATAATAGATATTGTTCTATTGAACAAGATATTGAAAAAGTATAGATGCTCAGGATATTATCTTCCTCTTGAGAAGATTTACATTCACTTCTATTCATTAGAGTAGAGACAGATCACCTTCATTTTGTATGTGATTGAGCTGATTCAATGTGGATTCCAGTCTTTTTGAGGGCAGATGTATTACAACTTATCCATATTCCTAGGGTGTTTTCCTAGTGGTTTGATAAAAGATTACAGTGTTTACCAGGACTCTTTCTTTGGCTGGACCTGGGCACCACTTTGCATCCTAGGACCATGAAATTTCCAAAAGTCCTATATAACTTCTTCTACTTCTTAGTCTCTGGACTCCATGCAGCTTATAAATTGGCAAATGCTGACTAATGCTATACACTGGTGTGGTTTTCTTTGAATTTATCCCACTTAGGGTCTATGGAACTTCTTGGATTAAGGATTCACTAGAAATGAAAGATTCATTTTTAATGCATTTTCTCTTCGAAAGCTTCACAGGTTCTGGGTGCCTTTGTTGCTCTTTGATGTCTTCGCAGAGATATTTTTATGCATTTTACCCAGATCCTTTGTTAGTCTTCACTAGGAGAGTTAGTCTCATACATGCTTGTTTGACATAGAAGAAAGCAAAAACTCTGTCTCATTCTATTATAACCTTATAGAGGATGATCAGTTGACCAGAAAATTATCCCTTTTAATGTGTTAGCTTCAGTATTAGAGAATCAAAGAAGGTTAGACCATAAAATACTTAGGCAATATGTAGGTCAAACTCCAATCTTATTCTTCTACCTCCAACTTACTCTGAACTTCTCAGGTATATCAGCTATCTACTGGTACATAACAAACCATCCCCAATGCAGTGCCTTAAAACAACAACCATTTATTTGCTCATGATTTGGGTTAACAATTTGGGCTGGGCCGAGCTGAACAGTTCTTTTTGCTCCATGTAGTGTTAAATGAGTTCATGCTTGTATTTCAGTCTGTTGGTAGGCTGGCTAGGGAATGGCTCACGTCCCTGGTGTCCTCATTCATATTTTTGGCAGTGGGTACCTTGATTCTCTATTTTGCTCTTATCAGCAAGATAGCTCAGGTTTCTTACCTGGTGCTTATGAAGTCTCTGCTTGAATCATATTTGCTTATGCTCCATTCACCAAAGCCCAAGATCAAGTTCATGGTCATGATGGAGAAGACTATGCCCATACATGAATATCAGAAGGTGAAATTCATTGGAGGCATTGATGTAACAATCCATCACACCAAGTAATATAATGTCTCAACTTAGCTAAAATAAGCACCCCCCCACACCTGACACTATAAAATTATCAAGGAAAATTCTAGATATTGAAATTTTATTTTTTTTCAGAAGACATTTTTAGAGTACTTAAATAATTGTATATATTTTATTACTGCCCCCATTTGAGGATAGGCCAATTCTGATTACTAGCTGTCACCAGTAGAGAAGTTAGGACATCAGATTTTAAGTAGTATTCAAGAAACCTAAAACCAGGTGAACTGTGGGAATAGCAGAACAGCCTTACCAATATTCTTAAGTAAAACTTTTGAATTTGTTTTCCCTAGTTTAACTTTCAGTCAACTAAAACAAGGCAATTATACCTGTTGTAGTTTTATTAACTTTTAAACAAAACACTTAACTTGATTTTGGAATTCTTGTCTACCCTTTCAGAAATAAAACGCCTTGAAATATTATCTTTGATTCCTTCTCAGAAGTGGAAATCTTTTTTTAAGATTTATTTTTTTTTATTTTTTATTTTTTAAAGATTTTATTTATTTATTTGAGAGAGAGAATGAGATAGAGCATGAGAGGGGGGAGGGTCAGAGGGAGAAGCAGACTCCCTGCCGAGCAGGGAGCCCGATGCGGGACTCTATCCCGGGACTCCGGGATCATGACCTGAGCCAAAGGCAGTCGCTTAACTGACTGAGTCACCCAGGCGCCCAAGATTTATTTATTTTAGAGAGGGAGAAAGAGAGAGAGAGAGAGGAGGGGCAGAGGCAGAGGGAGAGGGAAACTTAAACAGACTCCGTGCTGAGCATGGAGCCCGAGGTGGGGCTCAATCTCACGACCCTGAAATCACCACCTGAGCCGAAACTAAGAATTGGACTGTTAACCAACTGCGCCATCCAGGTGCCCCTCAGAAATGGAAATCTTAAAGCATCATCATTTGGGGGAATTCTGTGGAACATAAATAGGTGTAAACAATAGTTTCATGCCTTAAAAGGAGTTGTGATACTAAAGTAGCGAATACTCTCATTTTCCTCAGCCCTTGCTGCCATCCCAGTACTGGTACTATATTTTGGAGATGAGTTTTTATTGGTCTCTGATATTTAGTCTTGGCTCTGATGTCAAGAGGAAGGTAAGTATCTTTTTTTTTTTTTTTTAAGATTTTATTTATTTGAGAGAGAGAGAGAGAGCTCGTGAGAGAGCAAGCAGGGGGAGGGGTGTGCAGAGGGAGAGGGAGAGAGAATCCTAAGCAGACTCTGCGCTGAGCATAGAGCCAGATGTGGGGCTTGATCGCGGGACCCTGAGATCATGACCTCAGCTGAAACCAAGAGTCTGAAACCAAGACTCGAACGCTTAACCAACTGCACCACCCAGGCACCCTTAGGTAAGTGTCTTATTTACAAAGCTACTTTATCTACTTTTTCAAAAATTGTCACCCCCCCGCCCCCAATCCTAATCTTTAAATTGTATTCTTATGTTAGTTTCAATTCATAGCCTTTTTGCATTTTATAGCACGTAGGATGGTGCAAAACTTGCTCATGTTTTGGTGCCTCAATAAGTATTTGCAGCGAAACATTATAGACTATAGACACTTTGACTTGGAAGTTCCACTCTTGCTCAGTAGGAAGAGAACTCTCCTTTATGTGGTCTGTTTTTCCCTTTGGGTTCGGGCATTTGATGTTCTTCATTACAGGTGCTAGTAGTTTTAATTCTGCAGCCACATCTTTTAGCTGATTACAAGCCACCTTATAGTAATTCTTTGATGTATTCAAAGACTTTGAATACACATTGTCCTTAATTCATCCAAGATCTTTATGTGGAAACTTTGCTTTGGGCATGCTTGGCTTTGCTTTAGATGTAGGGAAATTGAGCCACAGGCATGCTAAAAAAAAATGTATCCTCTGAGTTAACAAAGTGAGGCGTTTTAGGAACCGTTTGCTGATGCAGAAAACCATATTAGATTCTCAATGCAATCACAAGATTTTATCATATATGTTAGCAACACAGATCAAATGATAAATACTCTTGGCATATACCTCATATGCTACACTCTGTTTAAAAAGCCAGTCTGTGGCAAAATTTGTGTGATAAATAAAGCTAAGTTGAACTCAGTATTAAGGAGATAAGACCAAGCCGACTTGATTAAGTGATGTTCGGGTGCGTGATGGTGCACCCTATCCATCACTAAGGGGCTCAATCAACTGCAGTCAACAGGAGATCTTAAAAGAAAACTTATAAAATGTAAGTAAAAGAACATATTATGAAAAAACCTGATAGAAATAATCTCCTTTTCCATAAAACTCAGCAATAGCTGTAGATGAACTGTCATTAACTAAGAATACATCAAAATGTAATTGTTTGAGTCATTTTCTCAAGGGAGAGAATTGAAGATAATCGCTTTTTAGAAGGTCTTCATAGATATACTAAGGTGGGTCAAGGCTATAATGATCCTGTCTTTCTCCCACATCCGATTTTTCAGTAGTTGGTTTCTCTTTATTACATATAGGTGCACAGGGTACCTTTTCAAAAATTGAGCCCAGGTTTGAATCCCCGGCTTCACCACTCACTAACCTCTCAAGCTAGCAGGCTAAACTCCCTAAATTTGATTTCCTCATCTGTAAAATGGAGCTAAAAATAGTTTCTGTCTTCTCTGGTTGTTGTGAGGATTAGGCTGGTATACCATAAGTGCTCAGTAAGTTGGGCTATTATTAGTAGTATCATGTTTACACTTTTACTTTGGCTACGAGGAAACTGAAATCTTTAAGTGTTTTTTAAAACATCTTTATCGAGGTATCTGCACACTGTACGCAGTCATCAAAAGTGTGTAATTCAGTGGTTTTGAGTATGTCCACAGAGTTGTGCACTCATCACCACAGTCATTTTTAGAATATTTTTGTCACCCCCCCAAAAGATATCCTGTACCTTTTTGCAGTCACTCCCCATTTCTCCTAACTTCCCCAGCCCTAGGCAACCCACTGACCTACTTTCTGTCTCTATGGATTTGCCTCTTCTGTATATTTCATATAAGTTGAATCATAATATATGGTTTTTTGTGTGTCTGGCACTTTCACTTCACATAATGTTTTCAAGGTTCATTCATGTGGAAGCATGTATCAATCCTTCATTCCTTTTTAGTGCTAAATAATTGTCCATGGTTTGGATATACTGTATTCTATTTATCTATTTATTACCTGATGGCTATTTGGGATGTTTTCTTTTTTGTCTCTTAGGAATAATGGTGTTATGAACATTCATCTACAAGTTTTTGCATGGACATATTTTTATTTCAGTAGAATTGCTGGGCTATATGATAATCCTATATTTAACCTTTTGGGCAACTGCCAAAGATGCTGCACCATTTTACATTCCTACCAGCAACATATAAGCATTCCAGTTTCTCCACGTCCTTGCCAACACTTGTGATAGTCCATCATTTTTGTTATAGCTATCCTAGTGGGGATGAAGTGGTATCTCATGGTGGTTTTGATTTACATTTTCCTGACAACTAATGAGGGTCGAGTGTCTTTTTGTGTAGTTGTTGGCCATTTGTATATTTTGTTGGCAGAAAACATTTAAGTCTTTATGCTCGATTGTGGTAGCTTTCTTTAGCTCAGGGTTGGTAATATTGCACTTACATTTGTTACTTGTTTCATATGCGGTAACTCTTATTTTAATGGTTGTGTAATTTTATTATATTGTATATCTGTCTTTTTTCCTTTTTGGAATTAGGGAGTAAAGGATAAATGTAAATATACACAGGAATGTGTGTGTATGTATATAGTTGTGTGTGTGTGTGTGTGTGTGCGGGCGTGTGTACATATATCCAGTGTGGGGCAGTGGAAAGAAGAGCAGATGTTAGGATTTAGATGACAACTATTCAAAGCTGTCCCAAAGTTAAGTGACTTCATCAGTGAGGGTAATATGTGTTAGTTCCCTCACAAGGATTTTGTTTAAGAATCAAAGTGAAAGCATTTTACAAATTTCAAAACATTCAGATGTAAGTTGTTGGTTTTTAAACAATATTATTGTTGTTGTTGTTGTTGTTGTTAGCTCTTCCAGTGATTAGAAAATAATTGTGTTTGCTTAATAGCTTCCATTTTCTTCTCGTTGTGTAGGATTTTCTAGCTCATGTCATCCACCACCTGGCTGCTATTAGCTTGATGAGCTTCTCTTGGTGTGCTAATTATATTCGCAGTGGGACCCTCGTGATGATTGTGCATGATGTGGCTGACATTTGGCTGGAGGTAAACATTTGCCGTTAAAAAAAGTAATAACAATACCATGTCCTGAGTTTCTGGGACTCCTCGCAGGAAGAATGGTCTGTGAGTGATTTAGCAGGGCTCTCCGTCCTGAAAACACCCAAAGTCCGAGCATGTCTCTGGGTTCTCAGATCCTTCAAGCTTAGAGAAACGAAACCTTGTACTGTTTAGTTTCCAGTCTTCTCCATGGTACTCGAGAGATGTTAACCCATGGGATTCCACTTGTAAAAGATACTAGCTCAGGAAGTAAGTTGAGATATTTGAGGAAGGAATGAACTCTAATCTTTTAAAAGGAAAATGTGGATTTGTGGCATTATGGATTCTTAATGTTGGATGGTACCATATATTTACTTAAGCCAAAGCCAAATACCCATTGGATGCTTGCACTGGCCCCACACTGATCCTCCTCCAGCTTTAAAGAATGAGAGCTGATGTTTATTCAAATGACATTTATTTTCTAAGGAAGGAATGTTTTGGAGCAGAGGACATTAAAACAAGAGCCTTCCTAGTCCCAAACAACACAAAACATGAGAAACAAAGCAAATTAGGATTGTTTTCTCTACTTGTTTCTGTTCCTATTGGTCCCTGTTTGCCCTGAGGCAGTGACCCAACAGCTCTCTTGCCTGCCAGCTCTCCTGCTGTACTTAGGGCCACATTTCCCAGAGCCAGGAGTTTGTCCTCTAAATACTTTCATTTATAATGGAGCTGAGGAAAAGGATGCTCACCCATCTCATGTTCAGGATTGCCTCTTGAACGGCTGATAGCTGAATATAAGTTGGTATGGGAGAAATTCAATTTGATAGGATCTTGTTCTTCTAGATCAAGGTTCACCAAACTTTTTGGTGAAGGGCCAGATAGTAAATCTAGCTCTGTGGGCAACATAGGATCTCTTGCCCTATATTCTTCTTTTCTGATTGTTTGCTCTTTCTTTTCTTGCATCCCTCTAAAAATGTAAAACCCATCCTTAAAGGGTGACCAGCTTTAGCCCATAGGCTGGATGGTAGTTTGCTAAACCCTATTCTAGATGTAACCAGAAGTCACTGGAAACCATTTCAAAGCAACTGGTTACTGTTAAAATACTAGATGTGTACAGAATTTTGTTTCTTCTGTGTAAATGCCATTAGACATGTAAATCCCCTTCCAAAGGTCAAGATTATTCAGGGCAGCAAATGGCTTAGCAGAGGAATTGTGCCAGTTTTCCCATGTGTTGCTGTCTGAATGTAGCCATATCTGTTATAATTACCTCCTCCTCTGATCATATCTCAGTAACCCTGCCTGTAAATTAAGACCACATTGGTCATGACTTAAGAATTTTATGCTACTCTGTTGCTTCTAACCCCTCTAGCCTTTGGTGTGTGTCCACTGCAAAAACAGCTTCATTGTGTTGTTAAAAGGTAGTTAGATGTGGAGACTGGGGATAAGCTCTGGGTTGTCCCTGCCCACCCTCCCCCACCCCATCACTGACATGCTATAATTCCCTAGGTGACTTGGGCAAATCACTAATGCTTTGTTTTCTGTCCTCAGCGGTAATATGAGAAGTCATATCTACCCCTTAGGGTATATTGTGAGGTTTAGCTCATTACTGTTGGAAAATGTTCTGAGGTTCTTAGGTGAAAAAAAAAAAAAAAAACAGAAGGAAAATGAAATGTCAGACTCAGAGGTCCCTTCATGGATAAACTATGAGAACAGCCTCATGTTGTTAACGATCATGAATCACTCCTGATTCACAAGCCATGATCTAACCTGAGGTTCAGTGAGCAAGACCAGTACCTTCCACCAGCTGGGAAGAGCAACATTAAGTGGTGGCATAGGGCTGATTTCTGATATCCTCCAAAGATGCCTAATCCACAGATTCCTCGAATAGTTGGCTTTAGCATTGCCTTCTCCGGCATGAACCCAGATATGGTACAACTTTCGCCCCTGTTTAGACCCTCCTAAATATGGTGACTGTTAATCTTTCATATTCCTCAAGACAATTGGTGGGTCATTTGTTAGCTCTTTCTCTGCAAGGAAAAACAGCCTTGACATCCACAACTCTGACTTAGAAGGAACCCCTGTCTTCTTCATGCATCTTCCTGATCCTCTGGTTTTCCACATGTTCAAGTTTGGATGCAGGACCCAACACTTGGAGCAGTATCCTGACTCATGCTTAGCAAAGGAGCAAGGGGACTGTCGGATCTCCATCTTTGCACAGCCCAGAATATGCTGTGCGTGTATTTACCCCGGGAATGCTACTTTGCCCTCACAAGTGCACTCTCTTCCTGCCTATGCACATCTCTAGCTAGCTCCCCTAGCCTGGCCTCTGACTCTTCAAACAACTCTCACTCCATTCCAGGCACGCTAAATTTCTGGCCTATCTCCCCATACCTACCTCCCACCCCCTTGGCAGACTAGCTTTCCACCTCAGCATTTGAGGCTGTTCCCTTCTGGGCCCCCTGCCGCTCCACACTCTGATCCTATCCTTATCCCACGGTTAATATGGCGAAGTATGGAAAATGCAATGTAAACCCTTCCCGAAGCGTAGATAGGCTGCCTCCCTTGTTTTAGAGTGGCTTTGAGCTTCTGGGCCAATTTCAGTCCCGAAACCACCCTGATCTGAGCCACGCTTCTGGAGGGATGACCTACACTCATCATCTCCTACCCACCTCCCACCACCCCCAAGTCCAGACACTTTCCATGCAGCCTTGGGCTCCACCAGATAATGCAAGAGAGAATTCTCATCAATTAACCTTCTACTACCACATTAAAGACTATGTAATTCCTTTTCTTCAATATAGATCATACGGGCAGTGTAGACTAGCATAAAGTAAATGGAGAAAAATCGAGTGCTTGCAACTTTGTTTCAACCAGGACAGGGCCCCCAGAGCAGCCTCCTCACTCTGCCCCTTCTGTCAGCTGCCTTGATTGCAACGTGCGCAGCCCAGCCCAGCCCAGGACTTCACTCACAGCTCAACCTTTCTCCAGTCCAGCTCTCCAATCAGTTAAATGGAGAAAATAAACAGGTGCCCCAATAAAATGCATGCTAGCATACATTGTGCTAACTTGTAGTGCTTGTGAAGGACAGGAGTAGTATTAAAATCATTTGAACAAATAAGTAAATAAATAAAGTCATTTGAACATATCTTTTTTTAAACATTCTATTATGGCAAATTTCAAACGTATGACAAAGAGAAGAGCATAATGGACCCAGTGGCCCATCCTCCAGCGTTACCAGTTATCAGTATGGCCAACCTCATTTCGTCAATTTCCCCATCCATCCCTCTCCCCCACCCCCCCTACACAGACCACTTTGAACCAAATCCCAGACATCATATCATTTCATTTATAAATATTTAATTTCAGAGTTTTATTCTAATATCACGTTATCTGAATGCAATTGCTTTCTTTGTTTTCAGTCTGCTAAGATGTTTTCTTACGCCGGATGGAAGCAAACCTGTAACGCCCTGTTTCTCATCTTCTCTACCATATTTTTCATCAGCCGCCTCATTATCTTTCCCTTCTGGTGAGTAGACAAGGGGCTGGGCCATGCCTTTGGGCACCGTGCTGAGGTGGCCTTGGCACGTTGTTGAAGTCTCTTTCTTACATTGATCTCCAGTTGTTTGTGCCAAGTTCAGTCAGAGAAAATAGTGGGAGGGGGCCATTTTTATAAATAATTAAAACAACACCTTCCAATGTGGAAAAGGCTTATGATAAAGGGAGGTGGAAAATGTTTAACCCAATGGGTAAGCAGCAACTTTTACTCTAGGTCTTGTTTCATGAATGTGGATCTTTGTGTTTAACAGCTTTTCCAGTTATTCATTGAAATGTCATTGGCCAATCACCAGCTCTTTGAAAGAGAGGCATGTTCTATGTTAAAAATATAGTAATTATAGCCACCATTAATTGAATGCCAGACACTGGATTAGGCCCTTTGTATATCTTGGCTCCAGTCTATACAACAAATCATAAAGACAGGTATTATCACTCTTATTTCACAGATGAGAAAACTGATACTGATTTCATTTTCCATGATCACTGGTCTTAACAATGGTCTGGATATCCTTTTAATATTGATTGACTCTTGATCAGCCTGTTGATTTTGTTTAGCCAAGGGCTGGCAGTGTGTCTCCTCTGACAGTCATCCCTTTGGCAAGCATAATTTTCCATGGGTTGATTGATCGGAACCGGAGGAAAAGTGTGAGGAAGTCTTTGATAGTTTGGGAGAAAGAACTTATAATGAACCATTATTTGGGGCTGGTCTAAGAGTTTCAGATCCTCTCAACAGGAAAGTAGAGTTGGTGTGGCCGAAGATCCTGGGTTCCAGGGGAAAGACAAGGGGACCCAGGTTCCAGACCTGATTCCTATTGGGTGGACAGCACCCTTGACTAGCCTGCAGGGAATTCTGGTCAGAGAGGTCAGTGGGTGCTGCCCTCCCTATGAAGCCAGCTATATCCTTAAACCAAGACCAATGTCTTACTTAGACATTTTCTGGAGAGGAGCAGCAGAGTGTAGTGATTAAGTTCGTGGATGCAAGTCAGACCTAGATTCAAATCCCGGCTCCACACTTACTACCTGTGTAATCTTGGACATGTTAGATCATTTCCCTGGTCTCAGTTTCCTCGTCTGTGAAATGGAAGTAATTGCTGTCACAAGGCTTAAATGAAGTAATACGTATGAAATAGTGCAGAATAGTGTCTGGAAAATAGTAAGGACTTGGCAAATGCCAGCTACATTTATTAAAGTTTTTAATAAGTCTCCAAGAATTTGAAATTTAATTTAGAATCAAATCTGAGACACACGTTTAAAATACTCTCCTTGGTTGATGAATCACATTACCCCCACTTTTGCTTTGGTTGAGCCAATGTGTTTGTGAAAAGATAATATTGTATGGTAGCAGTTATTGATAGAATAGTATTGACTTTCAGGTAATATTTGAGTTGTGGCTTTTCAGTGTGACTTTTATGATGCTGTAAATCCAGCATTTGCCTATCAATGGCCTCTTCTTATGTTCCAAAAGTACCATGTGTTCCGGTTATCTGTTGCTACATAATAAACCATCTGAAACTGATATGACAGTGTTGGACAATGTTTTTTTGTAAAAGGCCACAGAATAGCTATTTTCAGCTTTAAGGGCTACATATGGTCTCTGTCACATATTATTCTTTGCTTTGTTTTTTTCTTTTACAACCCTTTAAAAATGTACCAAGCCCAGCTGAGCTCACAGGCTGTAGAAAAACAGGTTGCAGGCCAGATTTTATCACCAGGCCTTAGTCTGCAGACCTCTCTCTTAAAACAACAATGTTTATTGATTATTATTATGGCTTATGCTTTTGGAAGTTGACCGGCCTCAGTGAGTTGGTGGTTTTCACCTAGGGTCTCTATTGTGGTTACAGTCAGATGTGGCCAGAGTTGGGAATTTTCTTGAAGACTTCCTCACCCCACATGGTTGAAGTAACACATATAAAATCAACTGGTTGGTGTTGATTGTTGGTTGAGACCTCAGCTGGGCCTGTCAGCTGGAATACCTACACAGGGCCTGACCTCCCCATAGCATGGCAGCTGGATTTCAAGGGTGAGCAGCTCATAAGAGAGCTAGGCAGATGCTGTGTCTCATTTTATAACCCACCTGCAGAAGTCACATTATGCCACTTCCAACCTCATTTTCTTCATTGGATCCAGGTGACCAAGGCCAGGTCATATTTGAGGAAAGGAAAATTTAGACTCCATTTCTCCACGGGAGTAGTTTCAAAGAATTCGTGGGCATATTTAAAAACATACACCATGGAAGCTCTCGGTCCAGGGAACTCTCTGAGAAGCTTCACAGTCTTGCTGCTATGGTTGGCTTTTGATTTAGCAATGAAGGACGTTAACCTCAGACATTCCCATGATGTCTTAAATCAACAAGCAAGCTTACTCCTCCCCAGAAAACAACCAAACATCGTATTGGGGTTGAGTGATTGTGGAGGTGGTGTGTTACTTTCCCACACACCCTTGACTTTAAAAATCCTAGATTTAAGAAGTCGCTCTCTTGTCAGCATTTCTGGATTTCAAGAAGAATTAGTTGCATGCATTTGGCATTTTCTTGATCTTGATACTTTGTTGAATTCACCAGCCCACTGCAGAGGGCAGCCAATACCACTGTTTGCTGTCTTCAGGAAGTTGGATTGCAAATAAACCCGTATTAACAGACTGGATTGTAAAAATTTTTTTGCTGGTAAAAATTTTTCTGCACTGACGTTGACTAGTCCTCATTGTTTGGAAGGCTGAGGAAAGCCTCACCAAGCTATTGGAAGTTTGAGAGATTGATTCTCGATGGTTTTTGAAAGACTCCGTTGCAGTGTGTTACCCTGGCTTAAATAGTGTTCCCATCAGCTTGAACGTGTTACACAATCATCTTGTGCCAAAGAGGAAAAGTCAGTTCCTTGTTGTTAGCCTGGCTCCAACCATCTGTCTAAAATGTGTAAGTGTCGATTCATTTTTCAAGGATATTTTATTAGTTCAGTTTTTGGGGGAATTTACTTGGACCAAACGATGTGCAGATGATAGACCTCATTCAAGGTTCAGACATTTTTGAGGTGCCGTGGGAGGCAGCTGGCTATCCAATCGCTCTGTTCCTCGCAACTGCGTTTGTTGCACATTTTGTGGTACGATGAAGGGCTGAGTGGCGAGAAGCCTTGACCCATCTGAAATTTATCTGGAAACTGTGAGAGAAAGAACCAGAACTTGTACATTACACTTGCCTTTCCCTTTCTTTTACTTTCCCTTCGTTTATTCCGAGCCTCGAGCATATTTGCTTTTCTCTGATGAGTTTCTTTTGTGTGGGTACAACTGTGTCCCCTCTTCTCTCCTTCTGCTTTTCTCAGAAATCTTGTTTAGCCAATTCTCACTCAATCAGTGTCAGCAAGTGGTAATTACATGTTTTTTTATAATATTGTTCCTCTCAACATCAGGCAAGAATTCCAATTGGCCTGGGCTAAATTACTTTAATCTAATTGCCTGGTTACCTCATTTGTTTGTATTTTTATTCAAAAGCATTCAAATCTCAGGCTTATATTTTTTACATGGTATTCCCAAGTGTTTTATTTTATTTTTTAAGATTTATTTGTTTATTTTTGCGAGAGGGGGAGAGAGTGAGAGAGAGGAGAGCGCATGAGCGGGGCGAGGGGCAGATTGAGAAGTGGACTCTCCACTGAGCAGGGAGCCTGATGCGGGACTCGATCCCAGGACCCTGGGATCATGACCTGAGCTGAAGGCAGATGCTTAACCAACTGAGCCACCCAGGCGCCCGCAGCTGTTGTTTTAAAATAATGGCTTCTCTGCTTTTGAATTATTGGATGTATCCATTTATTTGAATATTATACAAATACTGCCAAGGAATCACGAGGCTAGAAAGACCTTCCTAAATTCAGGTAAACAACTCTGCCGACTCTTGACAGTTTCCTTCATAAACCGCAAGGACAGATAACAATTTAGTCCAGGCTGATGCGCTGAAGGAAAGGAGCATTCTGTCTCAACTGAAGTTTACAGGGGGTGGTGCCGGCTCACTGCTTCGTTTCTTGAACTCATTGCACCTAGATGTTGTGAGGAATACAGCAGATGAATGAGACACAGTTCTACCCTGCGGGAGGAGTTCATAAGGGCAGTAGAAGAGATCTTTGTATCAACTACCTTGTCCATATATTTGAAGATGATTAATACTGACCTGTGTTTTGGATGTTCAAAAAAATTTTCCAATGGTGAATAATATTCAGATAAGGAACTTCCTTACCTGCAAGGGTACATATGCTTGTGGTAGCTTTATATGCCCCACCACTGGTTCACTGGATTCCAGGCTTTAGCTTTTGAGGATCTGGCTCTCACTGGCATAGAGAAGCAATACCATGGGAAGCCTCAGGTGAAAAGGAATTCTGTGGGTGATGTGACCATATGAGTACCTGGAATGGCTATCAGAGAGAGGGCAGTTTTAAGAAAAGACAAGACAGGGCGCCTGGGTGGCTCAGCTGGTTAAGCGACTGCCTTCAGCTCAGGTCATGATCCTGGAGTCCCGGAATCGAGTCCCGCATCGGGCTCCCTGCTCGGCGGGGAGTCTGCTTCTCCCTCTGACCTTCCTCCCTCTCATGCTCTCTCTCTCTCATTCTCTCTGTCTCAAATAAATAAATAAAATCTTAAAAAAAAAAAAAAAGACAAGACAAGACAAAGCTAGAAGCATACAGCAGTGCTCTTAGCTGACATTCATCAGAGGGGAAACAAGAGTAAGGACACAATGGACCCACCCTCATAAGGCCCGGAGCCTGGGTGTCATGGTGCCATGGTGGGCTTCCATGCCCTCATGGGATGGCACAGTGCCTTACACACAGCCACCAGAGGAAAGGAAGGGCTCGTGCAATTTGAGAGTGGCTCTCTTAGAACTGGGGCCACTCCCTTGGGCCACCACTGCAGGTGTGTATCTCAGAACTAGACTTTCCAGTTTCACGCCTGTGTAAGAGACAATGAATTTCACCGCCTGTGTTTGTTCAATGTCTC